TTTCTCTACATTTAGTGCAAAATGGGACCCAAATATCTTCTAATGGACCCAAACTTTCTATTACCAAATGAGGAAATATATGTAGATGATCTATATGGATTCATGGAGATGGGGTTTGTATAGAGCTGTTGTAATCATGTCCTTTGGATGAAGAAGGGGCATCACAATTATATTACTTGCCTCTTTGGGAAAAAGTTTAGTTGCTACTTAAAGTAAACAGATCATAATTAAAATATTATTGTCACTAAGTAATCAACATGCTGTGGCTATAAATATATGATGATCATTATATTATTGAACATGAAGAAGAGAGATGTATATGTTCATATGTAAGGGGTTTGCATGAGTAGCTAGGTATGGGAATCAGGGGATGGGGAAAGTTCTGGTGGCATGGATGAGGAGAGAGGTGGATAACTAGCTACCTTCTTCTCATGCAATGATGCAAAATATCCAAGATCGGCAACATTGTGTAGCGAAATATGATATGAGAATGGGAATACAGTTGTAGTGATCGAAAATCAGATCTTGTGGAGTATATATAGTCCTTTGAAAGCTCGCATTTCGTCTAAGGGCCTTGCATAAAGAGGTAGAGAGTGTAATGCAGCCAAGGATGACTTGCCGGAATTGAATAAATATGATTGTTTCTGTATTGAAACTAGCTATCCCGCAAGTTGTCCTTGGCTACATTGGGTTCTCTTCTTCTCATGTAAGGCCTTATGGCCCTGCATATGATAAAACTCAAATTCACAACAACAACATCCAGGTTTTATAAGTGTTTTTCTCCTTCTTTTCGATCTTCTTCTTCCCCTTCTTGTTGTTTTTCCTAATTTATGTGTTCGATGCCTCATGTATCAGATAGGAGTCAAGCAATGCGTGCTAATCAGCGTACATGTATGTAGTATCGTGCGCGTGTTTTCATGCAGGAAAAGTGCAGCAGTCTATAGCTTATGCTTAATGCCTAAAAAGATCAGGATATGATGTGGGGGTCTGCCTAACCCCAGCTTAACTTAAAAAAAAAA